GAGAGGAGCAGTGGGGAAGGTTCTAGGTCTTCACCCTACTTACAGATACCTGGACAGGATGTTCAGAAAGACTATTGACTGCAAGGGTGGAGACAAGGGCAACATTGCAGATTACTCCAGGAACCTACTCCACAGGATGGCACCTGATGCTCGTCCCTTCAGCGTGTTTGACTTCATATGGTCAGAGATCAGGAGTGTGGGAGAGAGGCCCCTCAAGGGCTGTGGATTTGCTCCCTATATCATGTATATGATTGAGCAGGTGACAGGGTACACATTCGAGTTTGACAAGACTCACAAGGCCCTGAAGATTGTTGCAGATCTGCCTGAGACAGGATTACCTCCAGCAGGACCAGGAGGAGTAGCAGCAGCACCAGAGGCAGATGCACCTGGGAGTGGTGCACCAACAGGAGCTTCACCTTCACCACGTGCTCCTTCACGTTCTACTTCACGCCGTGGCAGTCCTCCCTCGCCTATTCGCAGGCTTTTTAGCTCCATATTTGGGATGTGCAGAGACATCCAGACCAGGTAGCAGAAGGAGAGGGAGGCTAGGAGGAAGGACACTCGGACTTTGAAGCAAATTGCTTCTAATCTTGAGCTTGATCCTCCTAGATCTCCTCTATCAGATGAGGCAGCTAGTGAGCCTGAGACTGAGGAGCAGCAGCAGGCTAGATATGATAGAGAGTATGTTGAGTTCATTCAGCGACAGCAGCAGCAGCAGGCACCACAGCACCCTAACACTCTTCCACTTCAGGCTCATGTGCCTACTCCCTCTCAGCCACATCCTAGTACTGCAGACGAGTATGCTACAGATTGGTGGAGTGACCTCATAGGTGGTGGCGGCTACTATGGGTCTAGTGGCTATGACCCGTCCGGCGCAGGTGGTTCTCGTCCAGCTGGTGTTACACGTTCAGATGACGAAGATGCTGGGAGAGATGATGATGATGATGTTGAGTGATGCCAGAGATCAGATACAGCTTGCAGCCCCTTTTGTCCTTAGTTTGTCATTGTTGGACCTTTGTGGTGATAGATGACAAAGGGGAGAGAGACTGATTAAAGCTTCGGGATTTTTGTTTCATTTGCTTATCTTTGTACCTGAAGATATGTACTGCAGGCTATAGTTTTTGTTCATAAGCTTCATTGATGTATCTTGAGTTTGAGATTGCATTGTATCATGTGAGAGATGAGACTCACTTTTGCTTTATCTATGGATCTATTGAGATATGATCTTTATTATCTGTGGCTTGTGGACTTGAGAAAATATGTAATGAGTGCTATGTGTGGCATACATGTGTTGTATTTATTTTTCATAAGGTCTATGCATGATAGAATGAAAATATTTGATGTGATGTCTTTATATTTATTCTTGTGTGATATATCCTGTCATATGCATCACAATTCTATTTTGTCACACACACATCCACCCCACGGATGCAATGATTTAGGGAGAGTCTCCTATATATTTTAGTATGTGCAATTGACAAGTTGAGGTCATTTTGTGAATTCCAATCACAAGCACATATTAAGGGGGAGCCTCTTATAAATCATTGAACCCAAAAGCTTAAATGTTTATATTCTTTTGTAAGCTTTAATCAAGTTGTCATCAATCACAAAAAAGGGGGAGATTGAAAGTGCATCTGGCCCTTTAGTGGGTTTTGGATGATTGAATGACAACGTGATTAAAGGTCTAACCCATTTGCTAAGTGTGGACAGGTAATAGGTTATCTCACAGGTACTTAATGAAAGCCAAAATGATGTGTTGTTGTATAAACAATCTAGTTCAAGCACAAGACAACAATGCAAATAGAATTCATGCAAAGACTTATTTGTTGTGGGATTTCTATGTGCTATGAGAAAGCAAGCTCTTAAGTATTAATTAATGAGACATGAGGGATTGCATATGGAATGGTCTCATATTTGAAGCTTGCTAAATTGAAATGAAAAAGACAACAATACAAATGAATGGATGATTCAACACAAGATGTGACTTGATGGCTTGAGATGGTGAAGATAGCAAGGAAAGGCTTCGAGGTACTAAGCAAGGGTGAAGGGCAAGCGACGGCTTGGCGGCCGAAGAACCTAGCTAGGGTGAAGAAGAAAGTACTTGCATTTAGTTGAGGTACTAATCAAGCTATGATGGTCATATTGATGTGAAGGATCAAATCACTATTGGAGTGTTTGATAGAAGTGACTTGAAACATTTGGAATTATTCAAATTTGATGAATGGAATCAAGTCACGTGCTCAAGATGGCTATGCTCTAGTGAAAAAGATCAATATCAACATGTTGGCGCCCTCACTTGATGAAGATTGAAATACACGGCTTCGATTCAAAAAGAGCAACTCAAAAGGTTTTAATTCGTTATACTTTTAAATTTGAGTAAATAGGAATGTCGTACTATTAAGAGGGATGCATCATGTTGATAGATAATGTTTTATAAGTGCTCAAGCCAACCCATGTGAGATTTGAGTGTTTGAGAGACAAAAGAGCTAACTGACTTGTTGCTGGTCTGGCTATACCGGATGTGTCCGGTATGCATACTGGACGTGTCCGGTATTTGCCCAGTAACTGTAAAAGTGTTGTTCTCGGGTTGGTTCGTCGGGAGTTCCGACGGTTGGAAGTTCCGACAATGGTCGGGAGTTCCGACGTCTCGCAATTTAAATAATTTGGAGAGTTCACTGTCCTGGTCATACCGGACGTGTCCGGTATTCATACCGCACGTGTCCGGTATGGACGACCAGAGGCCAACGGCTGGTTTTCCAAAGCCTTGAGGGTCGGGAGTTCCGACGTAAGTCGGGAGTTCCGATGGTCGGAAGTTCCGGCATGTGTCGGGAGTTCCGGCACCTCATATTCTTTAACTCAGTTACATGGTTTTTAAATTTGCTGAGGATCGGGAGTTCCGACGTGAGTCGGGAGTTCCAGCGGTCGGGAGTTCTGGCTTTCATCGGGAGTTCCGACGTCTCACAACTTCACTGTAACTTAGTTACCGTTGGGGCAGTGTAAGTCATACCGGACGGTATGCATACCGGACGTGTCCGATATTGCAACGGCTATAAAACGGCTAGTCTTTCAAGGGGGCTATAAATACCCCCAAGCCTCCACCTTTGGAGGCTGCTGATTCTGCTGAGATAGACACACGTTTTTTAGCCTTGCCAACTCTCCTAAACCCTCTCTTAGTGAATGTGTGATCCAAATTGCAAAATTAATTTGTGGGTTAAGAGAGAATTTAAAAAAGAGAGCAAGCCACCATTTGAGCACTTGTGCATATTGTCAATCTCGTGATTCGTATTTGTTACTCTTGGACTCTTCGGTCCTAGACGGTTAGGCGTCGTTAGAGAGCACCTGAGAGATTGTGGTGTGCCTCGAAAAGTTTGTAACGGTCGATTCCGCCGCCTCGGAATCAAATTAGTGGAAGGAGGAAAAGGAGTTGGAAAAGACTCCGGCTAGAGTGACCTTCGTGGTACCCTCTAGGGCTGACCTTCGCTGGGTCGCCCGCAGCCCCCTCAACGGAGAGTAGGACTCGAACGAGTCCGAACTTCGGTAAAACAAATATCGTGTCGTAATTCGCATTTCATTTGATATTTGTGTTGCCCTAGTTATTCTGCATGTTCTCTGTGTATATTGTCATCTCCATTAGGTGCCTGCAGTTTGGTTTGAAGATAGAAATCGAAAGAAGCAAGTTCGGGGCCGATCTGCTGAAATCGTGTATACCGGACACGTCCGGTATTCATACCGGACACGTCCGGTATTTCCTGCCTGCACTAAAAATATTTATTCTCTGTTCTAACTGGGTGTTGCAGGGTTATAGCTTCTAGATATATTCTTTATACCTTGTTTACTCTGTGGCTAACTTGTGAGGGGTGGTAGTACTCTTAATTTGGAGTTTCCATTTTGGAAACTCCCCTTTCTAATTGTTTCCGCATTTAAAGGTGTTAATTTTCAGAAACGCCTATTCACCCCCCAGGCGACATCCTAGGTCCTTTCAAGGAGGGAATGCAGCGCGAGCGAGTTGCGGCGGGCGGCGGCGGGCGGACGAGTTGAGAGAGATTGCCGAAGCCGAAGATTGGGGATTTGGGGTTGGCCCCGCGGCTGCTTAGGGTTTTGCATGGGAGGCCTTAAAAACGGGAATTTCTCGCGGGAGTTTTCCTGAACAAATACGGGATCCGCTAATTCGGTCGGGAAATCACTTTAACCGATTTCGATCCCGGATTCGCCGAATTTTCCCGGATTTCTTCCCGAATCCGTTTTTTTACAGAGAAAATGATATCCGGTCGGGAATTCCGGTATTCGGTGTCGGTCGGTACGGGAATTTTCCGTTCCCGCTTTCATCCATAAGTATGCGCTCGATTATGCAGCCCATTATACTGTTTCAGGGCCAGTTAACGGAAACATCATTCTTATTGAAATACGGATTTTGCTCAAAAAAAAATTGAAATACGGATATTTTGTACCTCAATCCTCAAATCATATGCTCAAATGCAGAAAACTTAGGCAAGACTTCGTGCAGATCACTAAGAATATCTGTAGCAGATATATAAGGAGTACACAGCAGTCAACAGACGACTTCTCAGTTAAACTTTCGTGGCTGGGCTACTCTGTTACGATAGACGGATAGTACTAAATTACTTGTAGTATAGTAAGCAATAGTCAGTCAGCCGTGTTGAATTGTCGCCTTTGTAGCAGCTGGGGTGACTAAAAGTCAACGCTGCACAGTGGTCCACGTCATCCGTGTTTGACGGGTAAGCAGCACTGGCAAGTAGTAGGTTCCTGGCAGCTTCTCGCATGACATCAATCATCAATCCCATTTATGATTTATCAAACTGATACTTAACGATTAGTAGAGCTTTTGCTCTGTTGATTAACCAAAAAGAAAGACGAGGGGAGGTCTGTGTGCAACTGCAATTCACCAATTGCTGCCGTAGCTTTTTCTACTGAATTGAATTCCTTTAGACGGCACCGGGAATTCACATCTTCTGGAAATGAAAGAAAGAAGCGACAAATAATCAGTCGTCCTGGACGCAGAAGATTGTGGGCTTGACGGGCTCCGTGATCTCGACGGACCCTTCCAGCATCTTGGCCACTTTCCCCATGGACGGGCGCATCTCGGCGCGGTCCTGCAGGCACCACATGGCCGTCTTGACCATGCGCTCCACGGTGGCGACGCTGGCGGCGTCGTCGTAGGAGGCGGCGATGCGCGGGTCCATGATGTCGTCGATCCGCCGCTCCACGTACACCTTCTCGTACGCCCACTTGGGGAAGTACCAGTCCTCGCTGCCCACCGAGTCCTGCCGGAACCCGTAGTTGCGGCGGCCGGACACGATCTCCAGCAGCACCATGCCGAAGCTGTACACGTCGGCCTTGGCCGTGATGGGCTCGCGGTGGATCACCCACTCGGGGGCCATGTACCCGCGGGTGCCGCGGATGCGGGACATGGTCACCTTCTCCTTCTTGCTCGTCAGCTTGGACAGGCCGAAGTCGGACACCTTGGGGCAGAAGTCGTCCTCAAGCAGGATGTTCTCGGGCTTGATGTCGCAGTGGAGAACCCACTCAAGGCACTCCTCGTGGAGGTAGGCGATTGCGCGGGCAACGCCCAGGGCGATGCGGTACCGGGTGTGGAGGTCAAGCAGGGGCTGCTGCTGCTGCTGTTGTTCAGAGGACGAACCCTCCTCGCCGCTCCCACCGCCACCCCCACCCCCACCCCCACCGCCGGCGAACAGGTACTTGTCCAGCGACCCGTTGGGCACGTACTCGTACACCAGCATCCGCTGGTCCTTGTCGGCGCAGAACCCCCACATGCGCACCAGGTTGAGGTGGTGCATCCGCGCGATGATGGTCACCTCCGCCCAGAACTCCGCCTCGCCGCCGCCCACGCCGTGCAGCTGCTTCACCGCCACGGCGCGCCGGTCGGGCAGCTCGCCGCGGTACACCGTCCCGTACGCGCCGCGCCCCACCACGTCGGAGAAGTCCTTGGTCGCCTGCTTCAGCTCCGCGTACGAGAACCGCCGGGGCCCCCCCGCGGGCAGGTACTCCAGCCCCAGCGTGCGCGCCATCTCCCGGTACTGCGAGTACTTGCGCAGGAACGCCCAGAACGACAGCACCCCGGCCAGCAGCTCCACCGCGAACAGCGCCGTGATGATGGACACGTTCCGGATCGTCGTCCGCGCCTGCTTCGGCGGCACCGGCAGCGCCAGCCGCACGGGGCAAACCGTCTGGATCATGCTCGTCATCCCCGTGTACGGGTTGCTGTCGTTGTCCGACGCCGCCACACGCAGGTACGTCGACATCTCCGTCGCCGGGGACCAGTACCCGTCCGCCAGCCCCGTGAACTGGAGGCACGTCCGGTCGCCGCCGAACTTGTACCCGAACGCCACGCAGCTGGAGTTACCCCGGCAGAGTTTCTCGCAGTCCGCCAGGTTCTGAGGCGTCAGCTTGGTCATCAGCGGGCCCTGGTCCGACGCCGTGGTCTTGGCGCCCCCGGAGAAGGAGACGAAGTCCATCCGCACGAACTTGTCGTCGTCGCCCCTGCCGCTGTAGTTTTTCTTGGGCGTGCAGGCGTCGGTCAGGGTGGCGTTGCGGTAGCCCGGCGGGCAGACGCAGCTGGTGCTGTCGGCGCCGACGGGGACGCAGATCCTGCCGCCGGCGCAGGTGCCCCGGATGGTGCAGAGCTCCTGCACGACCTGCCACACCACGAGCCACGTCCGGGTCTTGGGCACCAGGCTGTAGAGGCGCAGGTTGCCGTCGTCGTCGAGCGTGAGCCGCCGCACCCGTTTGGTGGTGCCTTGGTCCGAGGCGATGAGCTGCGAGCCGCTGAACTGGAGCGTGCCGTCGGCGGTGAGGTTGAGCAGAGCGCTGCCGCTGCTGCTGATGTTGGCGTACATCATGGATAAGTTGAACTGCAGCGTGGCGGAGTTGACGAGCCTGTAGCGGCCGTTGGCGGACTGGAGCGTGGTGAAGTTGCCTTCCTTGGGCATGGCCTGCCCCGGCATGAGCGTGTTGGTGGGCTCGGCGAAGCTCGACCACGCTGCGCCGTAGACCAGGCTCCCCGTAACGTTGAGCTGCAGCACCGCCGGGGTGGTGGAGGTATTGGTAGCGAGCCAGATGGTAGTAGCGTTGTTGTTCCCGCCGGCAGTCCAGGAGAGCCGGCCCGCGGCGTCGATGGCGAGCGTGGAGGCGCCGTCGCCCTCGCAGGGGGAGTAGCTGCCGAGGTCATGGGCGTACCATATGACGGTGATGTCGGTGGAGTTGGAGCCGGCGACCCAGACGGCGAAGCGGTAGCGGCCCGGAGCGGAGGTCAACGGCACGAACCCGGCGGCGAAGTCGCGATTGATCGAGACGAGGGTGCGATTGCTGTCGGTGGGGCTCCAGGGCGAGTTGCTTGCGGAGAAAGAGGACATCTGCTGCTGGGCGGCGGCGAGAGGCGGCACGAGGAGGAGAAGGAGGCAGAGGAGGTGGGAGAGGGAGGCCATGGCCGTGCCCTGCTGCAGCCAAGACGACGAATCTCCTTTGCTGCTGGTGTCCCGTGGAAATAGCCGATCGATCGATCAAAGCGGGGCGGCTGCTAACAGTAATCCTGGTCTCTTTGCAGCGTCACACCATCATCCTATGACTAATGGCTGTGGGGAATTGGGGATGGGATGATGTAGCCGACTGATTTCAAAAACTACTAGCAAATCGGTCTTAGTTTGTTGGGTTTCCAGTCGCCGCTGCAAATTTTGGAATGGACGTATTCCATTTCTTTACCCCTTTCAGAGTACTGCTCATGGCGTGTCCCAGCTGCAATCCACATGTCACGCCATGTGGGCCCAGTAATGGATCGGATCGGACTGTGGGTGGACCGGTGGAGTCTCGGGGCTTTTTTTTTCCGTTCATTCACTTATTTATTCCCGAGACAAGGAACAGTTCAAGTTGGCACCATGGGCCATGGCTGCCGGGACCGAAGACTTTGACTTGGAATTTCATTGCACAATTGAGAATTCAATATACTCTCATCATCAGTCATGAACCAATTTGCAGTCCTTTGTACTGGGCTTCTCATGTTTTAATATAATAATAAGACAGTGCTAGCACTCGGACGTCCGTCCGGACACCCGGTATGGATGTCCGTGCCTACACTTTATTTCATGCGTCTCACGTGAGGCTCGCGCCGCTCCGGATGTCACCAACATCGAGAAGAGAGGAGGGGGCGGCGCCTGTCTACGTCTCTGGTTCGGATGGCCAGGCATCAGGAGGAGGAGACACCAAGGCGAGGCAACAGAAGGCGAGGAGGAAGTGCAACACTCGATCTATTTTTAAAACATCTAGATGTAACACTTGTAACATACGTCTAAAGACAGATGAAACACTTGAAACATGCATCTGAAACACTTACAAAAATACCTAAAAACACTTGAAACCATTGTAAAACATACGTACATCCAAATAAACAGACTTGCAACATACATCTGAAAAAAACAGATGAAACATCAGGAACATAAGCTTGCAACGTACGTGTAAAACTATTGCAACATATGCAACATCCCGATCTACTTTTGTAACATTCATATGAAACATTTACAACGTACCTATAAATCATCTGCAATACTTGAAACATAGGCTTGCAACATGTGCTTTCAGCGCAACATCTCCTTGCTGATTGCGAATGGAGGCTCATCGGTGCGTGGAGTTCACCGGTATAGAGCTCACCAGTGGCGCGTGTTGGTATTTCTTATGTCTATTGGATAATTCAGCAAGCGTACAGAATATACCGATGTAACACTTCGCCCGGGAGTATTCCAAGGTATTGTTATTTATTTTATCCCAAGGAAAAATGATAGCTACGAATGATAATAAAAGAGAGATCCTTATATACCACAACTTAGTATCAACTAGTATAGAGGGGTAAACGAAATATGGTAGGAATGGATGATGATGAAACAAGCCAAGATAAAGATAAATAAGATAACTAGTAAGTATAACTAGGTGGGAGGACAACGAGAGAGTAAATGACTTCTATGTTTCTGACTCTACTCCTGTAACTTAACCAAATCACACAATTAAGACACAGAAATTGATACCTCACAACAAGTATGTTAAGCGATATGCGAGACAATAGGGGATGAAACCCTATCCGAAGCAGCTACCTTTTTATGGGGGCCCTACCTTTTAAGAACTTGCCTACAACACGTGGTGGACTGCAAAGGCTAGACAGGGCTGTCACCACCTGCTAGCTACCACAAACTATCCGTGCAACAAGCGGTAACCAAAGGCAAGATAGTGTATAAGCACCACGTTCACCCTCTCTCACTACTATAGCTATAATTACGAGGCCAACTAGAGCACCATATGACAGGCGATGAACGCAATACAGGTGTGTTTCCAGGATCACAATCTAGTGTATAATAACTCTATGACTAGATAAGCCACAACAATACTATAACTAGTATAATATTGCACAAAGTAAAGACTAAGTAAAGTAGAGAAAGAGTAATATATTGAATAAAGTAAAGTCTTACAAAAGGAAGGAAAAGGTACAAGAGCTATACCAGACTCTCTAGAAGACAGCTTCGGAAGACCCGAGCAAAGCTCACTACTCAACTCTAACTTCCACACTAGACTACACTACTAAGATAAAGTAGACTAACTCCTCTTCACTTGAGCTTGTAGGCTTCTTCACCATGAATGGAGAGGAGGGAGTGACCCTCTACTTATAGGTGGAGGTGGAGGAGCGCCACGCCAGCGATCCGCGTGAACTTCGTCATGCAACCATTGGATCCACCGCCATAAAACCACCATAAATCCAAGGGCTAGGATCATTTGGCATGTGCTTAATGTGTGGGGAAGGCGATGGAGGGCTGGAGCCTCCATGGGAGGTTGTGACCTCCCTATGGCAGGTGGGCCCTACCACTTCCTTCTAGAAGGTGTCCCCACATGTCATGGTAGATGTTGCAGCTTTTGTCACGTCGGCTGCTTCGTTGTGGGCCCATGAATACGTGTGACTTCATCTTCCACCCTTGAGAGAAAACATAAATGTGATCCAAGGGTGGGGAATGGCTCTGGGATACTTCACATGGATCCTGCCACCTCGGCAAGGCTTGGTGGGTCCATAGGGAGGTCGGGGCGACCTCCATATGGTGGGCCCACGGGTCCAATTGCCTTCATTTGTCATCTCCTGCATAAAAATACCTCAAGGTACAAGTGGAACTTGTTATTGATAAAATATGTTCATGTCATGTTACTCTTCCTTTGAAATTGAGGTCATTCGGTGTTTTGAGTGTGTAATTTGGTGACATTCTCACCGTCAACAGCGCGGAGCTCACCGCTTTGGTGGAGAAGGCCACGATAGGTATGGTGGAGAAGACCGCGATGGGTGGGAGGTACAGTGGAGATGGAGGAAGACCGACTGCCGCCCATTGCTGATCGGTGGAGCAGAGGCGTGATGGAGAGGGAGGCACGGTCGCCGAGGTGGCATGGCGGAGCGCTGCGATGAGGTGGGGTTTTTTGGAATGGTTGGGGGTGAGTGGACGAGCAGATAAGAGGCGATCATTGGGCTGGCGTCATGGCCTAGCAACGAAGCGTCTAGGCGGATAGACGCCCGTATTCTAGAATTACGGAATATAATAGAGTCATTGTCAAAAAAATCACATACGTACATCACTCCTTAAGCTAAATTACTTATACAAACATGTTGTTTTGCCATTAGGAATCAACTCATTACCAATTTCATAAATCTTCTCTAATGCGAACAAAAGGATTATCATTTTCTTAAGAAAAATGTGTGGTTCAACTAGTTTTTTATAGAGTGGACAATCCCTTTTCTTGTTTTTCTACAAGAATCACAAAAAGAACTAAATAAAGATGAAAATGAAAAAGAATAAGTCAAAGACAGAAAACCCTATATTCAAAAGGGAAGGTCCATCTACTAGGTGTCTAGGCATTTTGTCCTCTCTAAACCTGAATTTTGGTGCCTTAATCCAAATCCAAAGAGGCTCGTAATCTATCCAGCACCCTAAATGTGAACATGAGATGGTGACAATGAACAATTCACTTGGTTTTCTTCAAGAGGCCTTTTGTACTTTTAAAAAAACAACGAACACTGATGATACATACTCTCTCTCTCTATGTCTAAAAAAAGGCATTGCGTGTGTGTGCGTGTGGTGTGAGTGTGGAGTGTGTGGGTTGTGTGCGTCCAAGGTGTACCCGATAAAAAAAAACATTCTAAAATCAAGATATTAATATTTATCATACTAAACAAGTATAATTAAACTCGAAGCAAAGTGCATGGCCGGCCCCTAAATTTGTTGGGCTGTGTCAATCCGGTCCATGAACTCTCTAAACGACTACTTAAGTCCCAAATCTATGTTTTGGTGTTGTTTAAGTCCATAAATGGTGCTAACCAAGTGTTCTTGTTGTTATATTTGCAGATGACCCCCTTAGATTGGTACAGAGTAAAATATCCCCATTCGCTCTCGCTCCGCCCGCCGCCGCTGAAAGCTCTAGTTTGATTTTGGTGAATTGATGGAACCCTATGTGCTAACCCTTTTACTCTAAGTGATCATGAGATAGGGTAGCACATTCCAAGTGGTGGAGCAAATGATGAAGATCATGATGATGGTGGTAATAGCCATGATGATGATCAAGTGCTCGGGATTAGAAAAGAAGAAAGAGAAAAACAAAAAGTTCAAGGCAAAGGTGATATCCATATGAACTTTTGTGTTTTGGTGATCGAGACACTTAGTGAGTGTGATCACATTTAGGATCGATAGCCATACTATTAAGAGGGGTGAAACTCATCGTGAAATGCGGTTATCAAAGTGCCACTAGATGTTCTAACTCATTGCATATGCATTTAGATTCTAGTGAGTGCTAACACCCTTGAAAATGTTTGTAAAAAGTTGCTAACACACGTGCACAAAGTGATACACTTGGTGGTTAGCACATTTGAGCAAGGGTGGAGGAGTTGGAGAAGAAAAGGAGGAGTTTTGGAGGACCGGACCCTGGGTATTGGGATGACCGGACCCAGGCAGGGAGAGTTAGGTCTCCTCTGTGTCTAGCGTGGGGGGCGCACGAGGGTCCGTTTAGGTGGTGACGTCGACGCAGTGGCAAGTTCTTTGCGCGAGGTGGTAATGTGGCAGCTTGTGTGAACCAGACAATGGCTCCGGGTCCGGTCATGAGTACCGAACTAGGTCTGATCAGGTCTTGGCCTCTCTAGAGTCGATCGGACCTAGGGAAGAGTAGGTTCGGTTGTTGGCGCGACTGAGTCTAGTCCTAAATGGTTTGGAGCGCGGGTGCATGGAAGTTTGTGAGGGTCAGACTCGACTGCTGGGTCCAGTAATGTCGGTCGGACTAGGTCTGGTCGTCTAGGAGTGCTCGGGGACCTCTCTATTCACCTTCGGACTCACGTGTGGAAGAGCAACTGGACCCTAGGTGTCTGAGTCCAGTTTGGTTCTATTGACTGCGACACTGACTCGACTATTAATGATCTATGGTG